CTAATAAATTGCAAAATGATCCTAGCATGAATGGTAGGAATGTTGTATGTGAAAATGGATTGCATTTTGATGAATATGATGAATCTCAATTGTGTTTCAATGAGCAAATGTCTATTTCACATGATAATATCTTTGGAACTAACTTTGAACCTCAAGAGGTGAGTTTTAATGACTCATTTTTCACCCCTCTTGAGGAGTGCATTGAAAGTGTAGGTTCTAAGGGTATTGCTGCCCAAGATACTCTCATGGCATTTTATTTGGTAAGTTCTCAAGTGGCGCATATTCAAGGTAATATCTATGAAACACTTGGGATAGGTAAGTCACTTCTATTTCTCATATCATTAGAACATGTGACTTTTACTATAAAGTCACCATTTAATGATCTACCACAGCCTAAAATGGTGGATTATTCGCTCACCAAACCTCCTTGAAAAATGAGGTTCAATAGTCAAGCTATTGACTTTAAAGAAGCGCTTATTGGGAGGCAACCCAATGTTTTGGCTATTTATGTTATTTTGGTGTGATTTTATATTTAAAGTATGTGTTTGAGTTATTTTGTTATTTTTCATTTGTAGGTATTGGAAATGGAAGCAAAAGTGACCAAATGAGGTGAAAAAGACGAAATTTGATCAAGGAACTCAACCCCTCGATTTGAGTAATTGTTGTTTTTGATCCGTTAAAAGGGGCTAAAATGCATGTTTTTAATGTTTTACATGTGTGCACATTGATAAATTGTACAAACAAATGATTTATGATGCATTTTGAGTGATTGGGGTATTATTTGTAAATTTTCAAAAGTTGAATTTCTGCTAAAATTCGCAGCAGAAAACGCGTTTCTCAAGAAAACGCGCCTCTGAGTCGCGTGTTCACAGAATCGCGTTTTCAATTCTGCACCTGCAGAACAGAAAACGCGCCATTGAAGGAAGTCGCGTTTTGTTGCCTTGATCAAAGATGAAAACGCGCCAGTGAAAACGCGACTTGAAGTCGCGTTTTCTCACATAACCGCGTTTTCAGTACTGCAACTTTTGGGAAGAAACGCGCCTTCAAAAACGCGAGTTAAAGGCGCGTTTCTACTCACGTTTTCTGAGCATTTTTTTTTTTTGAAAGAAAAAAATGCAGGTTCCTTGATTCTCTTTTTTTTTCTTCTTTTCCTCATATATTTTCTTGTACCTTGAGTGGCTTATTGTGGATTTTCTATAGGTACACCATCAAAACAAAGGATTGAAGTTACGGATCGCCGTTTAGTTTTATTAAACCTTTGTTATCACTTTTGTTTCTCATTTTCCATTTTTAGGTTTATATCACTAATGGTTATCAAATGGAACTCTTGAAGTGATGAAGACAGGCAAACAACATACCTTGAAGCTTCATATTCAATCACAACAATAGGGGAGTATTACTTTTCTTTATCTCGATTTTCCTTTTTACACATTGAGGACAATGTGCATGTTAAGTGTGGGGGGAAGAATTGAGATTATATACATTGTATGTGATTGAATTATTAGTTGCAAATATTGGACTTGTGTTAAAATTCAAAATTTTTCTAAAATCTTGTCCAAAATTGCAAACTTGCCCCAAAAAGTTTCATATTTTTTCAATTTTATCCAAGGGGTAACAAGTTTCATACCATTAGTAGTTCAAATTTCTTCTACATTTGAGATAAATATATGTGATTTAAGCACTTCTTTTCTCATTTAACTTGGAAATGACTATTATGTGATTATAATTTTTGCATTTGTAGGAAAGTATATCTTTTAAAGTGGAGAAAATTATGCCTATATTTTTTTGCATATTTGATGAAATTTCTTCGCTTTATTTGATTTTATAAGTTAAGTGATAAATATGGTCAATAATTGCAATACTCTTCTCGTGATTATGCTTTCAATTATATGAGGGAAAAAAAATCTTGTTTAAATAATAAACAATTGTTCTACTCCAATGATTCTCGTACCGAGTAACCGGGGGTTGGCATCTACAAATGTCAACATTCGCGTAAAAAGGTACTTGAATTAAGAGTATGCAAAGCAACTTGAGTATGTGAAGTGTTGAGTAACCGGGGGTTGGCATCTACAAATGTCGACACTCGCGTAAAAAGATACTTTCATAACTTAAGTAATATTTAGCTATATTATATAAATAAATCCCTCTTTAAGTTAAATAAGAAGATGATCATGGGTTTAGGAAGCATATTATTGACCATATGAGTTACTTACTTGTAAGATTGGGTAAGGATGAAAAATTGATTTGAACTTGTTATAATTACGGTATAATTGGCTCTTCTTTACTTGATATTATGAGTACTTGAACTTAATTGAATAATTGCATAATGGTTATTTACTTTGTTTTGAGGAAATGAAGTTGAAATGCTACATATGTTTATTTTCAACTTTTGGATCATTGTTGGTTTGTATTTCTTATTGCTTGAGCACAAGCAATGATTCAAGTGTGGGGGTATTTGACAAGGGTTTATTTTACGTATTTTTAGTGTGTTTTATTAGTTAATTCTGGTTTGATTATTTAGTTTTATAACTAAAATAATTAAGGTTTTGGTAAAAAACTACATTTTATGTTAAAGTGGCTAAACATTGCATTTTATGGATTTTTATGGTAAAAACTTCATATTTTGTAGGATTAATGATTCAATCATCAAATGAAGTGCATTGAGAAGATATTTGGATGATTGAAGGTGAATTAAAGTGGTGAAAATAAAATATGAAGTGTAAAAGGAAAAATGCAATTTGAATCAAGAAAAGTCAGGTTTGACAACTCTGACACGTTTTGGTATTTTGACTATATCTAGAGCTACACAGATCGGATCAAGGTGATCTTGGTGCCACTTTAAAGCTAAGAAAGAGATCTACATTTGGTATGAAGACATCAAAGTCCAATTCAGCCGTTTTCATAGTCCAAAAGTTGAAATACCGAAATTCAACTCAGCTGTCCAAAGTGGAAAATAGAGTTCCGACCAGTGTTTAGTATTCTGATCATATATCAGTCTACAAAGCTCCGATTTGGATGATTCTTGAAGCATTGGAAAGCTAACTCAAAGATCTACAACTTTGGTGTTTTGCACAAAAGCTAGTTCGGCCTGCATCATGGAGAAAATCGCAGTTGAAGTAAGGACAAAGTGAAAACACGAGTGCACAAAACGCGAGTTGTAGACGCGTTTTGTAAAGGCGCGTTTTCTGGCCGAAATTCTGCAATTTGCTCAGTCAATTCTCTTGTGTTCATACCACTTTCCAGCTATAAGTTGCAAGAGAATTCGGTGCACATGCTTCAGAAGACAAAAGGGCAGACAAGGTGGCTTATTTTCAAGTCAAAAACATTTGTTATTGACTATCCTAACAAAGTTGAGATTTGGGAATCAAAATGTGGAATTTGACTTGGAAAAATGGAGCTCTTCATCAGTTTATATGCAGAGACATTCTGGGATTGAGAGATTGGAGAGGATCATACGAGAGAAGCTTGAAAAGTGCAGAAATGTAGTTTTTTCATTCTCTTAGTATTAGTTTAGCTTAGTATAGAGTAGTATAGTTCATCCATTCTTGTTTATTATCTAGATTAGGATGAAGATGGAGGATGAAGAAGGCAAGGAAGAAAGCTCATGTGACAAGGGTTGTAATCCTTCCAAACTCTTTATCTTTTATATTTGATTCCAAGTTTGGTTAATATACAAGATCTGGATTTTGTGTTCAAGATGTGTCTTTAAAGTTTATACCTTGGGTTTGGTTGAACTTTCTATGATTTTTAGTGCTTATTGTTTGGCTATTTGACTGCTATGATTTGAGCAAATTATTTAGTACTTTAACTCTTTAAATCATGATTAATCTGGTACCATTAATTGTGATTATCTAAAGTGTTATTTCTGCAATGAAAATTGAGATTTAACATTAGTTCAAGAAGTGCTAAACATAGGGAGTACACTCACGAAAGTAGAGGTGCACCTATGTGGTTTTTAGTGATTCATTTCATGTAATTTCACTGAAGAAATGAACTTGTAGCTAATTTCATAACCATGAGAATAGGTATGGATTAGTTATAAGTATAATTGATTCACTACGAAAGTAGGATTCAAATGCATAAGGAAATTACACCATAATTAGCCTAGATGTAGTACTTAATGATCCAAATATAGCACTTGCATGAGTAGTTAGGGATATCACAACCCAAGGAGCTTTCATTTGTTATTTTGTATAATTTCAGTAGGTTAAATTTCTTATAATTTATTGATAGTCTGAATAATAGAGAAGTTTTAGTAATACCGGTAATTGTTCACTCTTCCCTGTGGGATCGACCCGATATATACCCTAAACTACTAGTTGACCTGTATACTTGCAGTGAACGGGTGTAATTCGGTTTTTTAACTTGTACGTATGTAAAATACCCGTCAATAATATCACTTAGCCGCTTTCTGTCCTTTCCATTTTTCCATTAAAAACACAAATATTTATTTATGCATCTACTTCCCTCTGTATCTTCTCTAGATCAATAAAATACTATATAAGTTTGTGTAAATTTGACTTTTTAAATTTAGTAAAGTAATTCTTTTCTTTGTCCTTGTATTCCTTCTTCAAAATAATAAATTTTTTATCTGTATAATATTTTTATTGTCAACAAAAATTTAGAAGCATTAAGTTGTTTATGTTAGCAATTACTACTCTTAACTATTAATAGTTTAAGAATTCTTTTCCCATGATTTTATTGAGACAACTCAGAAGTACCGCTTATTTAGTTTAAATAAAGATTAAAGTAATTTACTGTAGAAATAGAAGGAAGTTTGTATGCGTACTTCAATTCAGGTAAGTAATAAATATAAATCAATTTATAATATATTTATGATGTCACAAGGCAGCAATTGTGGTCTAATTATAGTTCGGCCAACGAGTGAATAGTGACCCTTAACCTAATAATTTGTTTTTGGGTTATGGTTGGGTTTCAAAATCTTGATTTAAACAGCGTATGACAGAATAAGAAAACATCACTAAGTATCTCGTTGTTACCTATGAGATTAGCATCCTCTATGCCTAGGATCTCCAAATTAGTAGTATTGCCAATATCTGCCGGGATTTGACCTGCAGAAAAGATCAAGCATAATACTTACATAATTGCTTAAAAAAATATACATGTATATATGCAGGCAATTGTTTTAAGAAAAATATCTTAAGCTACTGAGAAGGGTTGTAAGTAGTTAGCAAACTAAAATGATTTACATGTGTTCAAAATTTAAGTTCAAATTTATGTATGTAACTGAGAAAAGGGGAAGTTTTTATGGACTGTTTTGATTATTAAGCTAACGAAGCTAATTCTAAGATATAATTTGGTCAGGCGGGTCCACCACGAGAAAGGCATATACTTCATATAATGACATCCATACATTTTATTAAATTTAACTTATGGCCAATCTTGGTTGTAACTTGTTTGGAACCATCACAGCTATAGTGATCATGCCAAACCGTGGTCCATCTTCTAGTCTAGTTATTATATCGTGTGAGTTAATAGTGATCCTACTACATCGTGTCTTAGGCACAGTTTTGTGGACTGATTGAATTTAAATAACGAGATGCGTATTACTTTAAAATATGATTCAAAATAGATCTAATAACAAATCCCATAACCCATATAAGAGGAAACGGGTGAATTACACATTATTTTTCTGTGATTTAACACTATTTTACTTGTACATAAACCTCTTATAGTTCGAATTAAAATGTCATAGTGACGGATCTCTTCTTTTATAATAAAATTGACTAAAATGTCAAAAGTACTTCAATGTGAAAATGAAAATTACTTATTAATGATAAGAAATTTATGTATTAGTTTTGAAAATCATAAGAGAGTTTTGTTAAAAAATGATAAACAATGGGAGGCTAAATTGTAATGCATACTAAACTTATAATCATGGCCATTTCAATAATTTTAGTTTCTAAACAAAGGTAATTTTGACATTTAAACTAGTTCCAAATCATGAGAAAGTTGTATATATTTGAAGTCATAAGAGAGTTATGTTAGAAAGCGCTAAATTAGAATGGGATAAATTGCAATTTTTCCGGAAGAAATAGTGACTCAAAATCAAGGAATTACTATCTAATTGTACCTTGAATATCGTTTTCTCCTAGAGCTAGCCCCCTAAGCGTAGTTAGATTCCAAATTTCTTTTGGGATATTTCCTACCAGATTATTGTATGACAAGGACAAGATTTGAAGACTCGGACAACCTCCAATACCAGCCAGAACTTCGCCGTTAAACTCGTTCCTCGACAGATAAATCCCTTGGAGTTGTGGCAGATGATCACAGATAGGTGCCGGAAGGTAACCGGATAAGCTATTATTCGAAAAACTAAAGTGCTGCAATGACGAGAGGTTAAATAAAGACCGAGGCAAGGAGCCATCAAGTCTATTGGTTTACATGTCAAGGTCCTCCAAGTTTTGTAAAGCACTCCAGTCTTGAGGCAAATTTCCAGTTATGAGGTTCAGACCCAACCTTATGGTCTCTAACGTTGTTGCATTAGACAGCGTTGGTGGCAATGAACCTGAAATTCTGTTACTATGGAACAAAAGATAACGAAGTCGAGATAAAGCTCCCAACCATGATGGAAATTCACCATCAAAGCTATTGAATGCCAAGTTGATGGACTTGAGTCGACGCAAATGACCCAGCTGAGTTGGAAGATTTCCATGGAAGCTATTGTTTTGAAGGTTCAGCCAGACTAAGAATGAGAGATTCCCCAACTGTGGAGGTATGGTTCCGACTAAGCCCATTGTAGGAAGTTGTATGGCAGCGACTCTTCGATGGCGAGTGTTACAAGTGATTCCTATCCAGTTGCAAACAGAGGTAGAAATGGACCAATTGATTGGAAGGATGTTCTGGGGATCGGAAATGGTGGCCTTGAGGGCAAGAAGAGCATCTAGATCATGATCACGGCTGTTGTTATGGGCAACAACGTTAGTGATACTTGAGGAAGCTGTGCCCAGGCCTGCAACCAAGGTTACAAGGAAGAGGAAATAAGCTTTCTCCATATTTAATTTCTTTTCCAGAATCTGGACATATACTTGTATTGCCATAAGGAACATATAAATATAGATTCAAGTACAACAACCCTATTTTATTATTATTATTATATTGGTCTCTGGAGAAGAGGACCTTGTGATAGTGAGGTCAGTTAGGGTTTGCCTGATAGTCACCGAAGAATAATACAGAATGATGGTGGCAATGTAGACCTTGCAAATGTGACCTATCAGCTTGTATAATAGGTTAAACTATCTGAGGAGTATTTAAACCATTCGTATCGTCAACTTTTGAGATTTTATATATTTCAAGTTTCACATTATCCCCTCAAAAATAAATAGCGCAAAATTTTAATTATTCAGTCTATTTCTACATTAAAGCTGACAAATCTGAGGGCAATTTGATGAATCTAAATATGGAAATAGAGAAAATAAAATAAAATTTAATAATTTTTATTATTGATGAGCCAAGTTAAGACTTGAAATAGACGAGGGGCCAAAAATTGATAATAAAAATAGTTTAGAAGCTCCCTAGAAAGTTTACTCTATTTATTAACCTTGCATACAACTACCTTATAGAAAGCTCTTGACATGAACGAATTTCTGAGTCATGGAATACGAGATATGGAGCAACTTCACAGCCACATATGAGACGTGTGGGGATTTGAGTATATCTGCATGCAATTTTAACAATCCAATTTTAGTCATCTTTTATTTGTGGATTTAATGTGAGCTAAAATCTTTTTTAGGTTCAAGGAATAGGGGATAGATGACTAGATTAGCTTTTTTCTTCGTTGCTTCTTGATTGAAGAGAAGCATTCTAGAAGCCAGAGAGACATAAACAGAACTAGAAAATTCATCTTATAGTGGCGAACTTGAATATACCTAAACTTATATGTTTAAGATAAAACATTTTAAAGCTTCTGCTGTACTGAAATTTTCTAATTTTATAAGGGATAAAAATTGAATTTTCTAAAATTTGGGGGAGGGAAGGAGCCCCTGCTATCCCCCTAGGTTTCGTCCCTGGAGAGGGAGAAGTTGAGGAACTTAAGCTTTTATTAGAGATAGATGATTTAATATGTGTTGGTACTGTTTGTGTTACATAAAATAAATGGAGGCATTTTTGGATGCTGGATTGGATTTTTGCCTGGATGTCGTTAAACAGTGTTGGTCTGGCTCCCTTCCTGGTTCGTCTCTCAAGGTTTTATCGGAGAAGCTCCGAAAGACAAAACAAGCGCTTCGCCAATGGTCTAGGAGTTCTTTTGGGGATATATTCTTGGAGATTCGGTCGGCGGAGCAAAAGGTAGCAGAGGCTGAACTAGCCCATGATGACAACCCTTCCGAGGAATTACTGATACAACTACACAAGGCACGAGCTCGGTTGCGCAATGCTTTGGTGGTTGAAGAAGAGTATTGGAAGCAGAAAGCTCGGGTTAAGTGGCTGGCGGACGGTGACCAGAATACGGCTTTCTTTCATTCTGTTGTGACGGAGAGGCGGAGAAAGTCGGTTATTCATCGGATTCGGAGGACAAATGGCGACTGGGTGGACGATGAGGCAAGTATTTGTAATGAGGCCGTCTCTTTCTTTCAGGGTTTGTTTACAGAGGAGGTAAGAAGAGCCTCTAGTGACATGTTGGAGTTCATTCCGAGGGTTATTAATGATCAGGATAACAGCGGGCTGACGGAGATCCCTTCTATGGACGAAGTGAAGGAGGTCCTGTTTTCAATGGATGGGGACAGTGCCGCGGGTCCGGATGGCTTTACAGGGAAGTTTTTCACGGCTGCTTGGGAGGTGGTTGCTGAGGATGTTCACCGAGCCATAGAGAGCTTCTTTTGTGGCGCGGAGTTGCCGAGATGTGTCACCGCTACTGCCATTGTTTTGTTGCCTAAGGTTCTCTGCCCACACGATTTTACACAATTCAAACCGATAAGTTTATGCAACTTTGTCAATAAGGTCATCTCTAAACTCTTATCCGTCCGACTGGTTAGGGTCCTTCCGCGGATTATCTCGCCGCAGAAGAGTGGTTTCGTGCCAGGACGACAAATGGCGGATAACTTTCTCTTAGCTCAGGAGTTGTTGAGCGATATTAGGAAACCCAACCGGGGAGGGAATGTGGTGCTCAAGTTGGATATGATGAAGGCCTACGATAGGGTATCGTGGCTGTTTTTAATACAAGTCCTTTGGCGGTTTGGGTTTAGCGAGCTGTGGATTGATATGGTGTGGAGGCTGGTCTCAAATGTGTGGTTTTCTGTCATTGTGAATGGCTCGCTGAAGGGGTTTTTCAAGTCCACCCGAGGTTTGCGCCAGGGTGATCCGATATCGCCGGCTTTGTTTGTCATTGGAGCGGAGGTGCTTTTGCGTTCTCTGAATGCCTTGGCGGTGCATAGGCGTTTCCATCCCTTCAAAGTTCCGAGTGGATGCCCTATGGTCACGCACTTGGCATATGCAGACGATGTGATCATTTTCACCAGCGACATCAAGGCCTCAGTGCAGTTGGTCAAGCAGGTAGTCGATGGGTATTGTTCTCTGTCGGGGCAGCGAGTTAACTGTCAGAAGAGTTGTTTTTTGGTGCACCCCAGGGTGCCTCCGCAACGACGAGCAATGATCAGGACGGTTACGGGCTTCTCGCACAAGTCATTTCCTATCAAATACCTTGGATGTCCTCTGTACATTGGGAGGAGACAAGTGTATTATTTTGCAGATGTCTGCAGTGCGGTAACGGCTAGGATTTTATCATGGAAAAATCGGGTCCTATCGTCTGGGGGCAAACTAGTTTTGCTCAGAAGCGTGCTATCTTCAATCCCGATCCACTTGTTAGCGGCGACATCACCGCCAAAGGCAGTGTTTGTGTCCCTTGAGAAGGTGATGGCAGCCTTTTTGTGGGGCTCATCAGAGATTGGTCCTAGGTGGCAGTGGATAAGTTGGGGGGAGCTATGCTGGCCTCCGGAGGCAGGTGGGGTCGAATTTCGTAGTATTGCTGAGGTGTATGACGCACTCTCCATTAAGCTTTGGTGGAATTTTCGGCAGCAAAAGTCGCTATGGGCGCAATTTCTGTCAGCGAAATATTGTAAAGGAGTGCATCCTTGTTTGGCAGAAGAGGTCTCTTCACAGTCCTACACTTGGCGGAGATTGAGGTCAGTTCAGGATTTGGCGGAGGAGCATATCGGCTGGGTCCTTGGTGAGGGTTCCATGGATTTCTGGCATGATAATTGGATGGGTACAGGAGCGTTGTGCCATCGGGTAGATATTTTTCATGAGCATAGGGTGGCGGATCTTGTCTTTCAGGCACAATGGAACTGGCGACTCCTTAATCAGATATTGGCGCCGGAGCTGGTGAGGCAAGTGGTGCAGGTATCTCCTCCGGCCTCTAGAGGTGCGGATAGGATGGTTTGGGCGTTAACGGCTGATGGGACGTTCTCGGTAGCCTCGGCTTACTCCGTTGTTACAAAGTCGGCTACTTGTTCTTGGGTTGCTTCACAAGTTTGGCTGCAGGGTTGCCCTTTTAAGATTTCCTTCTTCATGCTCCGGCTGTTGCGGTCGCGCCTTCCCCTTATGGACATGCTACTGAAATTTGGGGTTCAGGGCCCGTCTAGGTGTCGGTGTTGCTCTGAGCCGGGTGAGGAAGGGATCCAGCACACCTTCTGCATGGGGGGATTAGCAAAGGCTGTTTGGGCTAGTTTTGAGGAATGTCAGGGGGAGTTGGCTAGGGTTTCCACGGTGTGTCATCTGGTTGTGCGGTGGTGGTTGCGCCGGGGACATAATGTGTACCTCAAGTTCGTATATCGATTACTCCCAATGCTGGTCTGTTGGGAGTTGTGGAAAGCGCGAAACACAGGGGTATTTGAGGGGAGGAGAGTGGTGAGTACGGAGGTGGTGCGTCAGGTATTTCTACAATTGTGTGCTTTATTTCATTGCCGTTTCCCGGAGATAGATGGCTCTTTTGGGTCATGGGATGCTTTTCACTCGGCATTGGTGGGTATGAGGCGGAGGGTTTCTATTATTCAGGTGGCACGGGTGGCTCCTACACGAGGGTATAAATTGAATTCAGATGGATGCTCTAGAGGGAATCCGGGGATTAGTGGAGGTGGAGGTGTGGTGTGTGATAGGGACGGGAAGCTCATTTTCGGCTATTCTTGTTTCTTTGGTTCTTTGACGAGTTTGCATGCGGAGCTTAGGGCAATGCTGTTTGGGGTGCGGTTATGTGTCGCTCAGGGTTTGCATGGGTTGCATATCGAGTCGGATTCGCTCAGCTTGGTGCGGATTCTGCAAGGGAGTCAAAGCTGCCCGTGGCGACTCCAACAGGAGATGTCCGAGTTGATCAACTATAAGCCGTACTTCACGGAGATCACGCATTGCTATCGAGAGGCAAACAAGCCTGCTGATTGCCTGGCTAACATGGGAGCAGATTCGGAGCAGGAGAGGGTCTTTACTAGCCTTTCTGCTTTGCCTTGTAATGTTCAGGGGGAACTGGCTTTGGAGCGCGTAGGGTTTCCTAATTTTCGTAGGAGGTGGGGTAGATGAGTGTTGTATGCTTTCTTTCGCCTGCTCTCAAGTTCAATAAAGCGTTTTTATTTGGATAAAAAAATTTAAAAAAAAAAACTATATAGTACGTGCATATTGAATCACTAAATTAATTTTTTTTCCTTTCGAAGGTTATGACATACATGATTGTTAGGCTTAGACAATTTTCTTGTACTGAACCGGATAGTGAGAAAGAGAATGCCTCTTTTTGACCCAGAGAATAAAACAAAAAAACTGAAAAACAAGAGAGAAAGCAGAGAGAAAGACCTCCAGTTTTGTTACTTTGTGTTGTGGGGCTACTTTGATTTTACAGATGTGACAATGAACAGTTAAATAGGAGAAAAGTTGAAGTCTAGTCAATAGTACGTATCATCTTTTCTCCAAAGAAGAGACTTGGACACGGAGTTATCTTTTAGATATAGTACGTGTAATGTATATATTCAGATGAAGAGTGTCTTTGGACAGAAGTTTATTTGAAATAGTAACTACTGTAGCACTTGTACGTGAAATTAAAAAAAAAAGTGGTAAGGAAAATAATTTTTCAGTTTAAAAAATGTATTAGTGATGCAAGTAAATAATTTTTGTGCAAATAATATCATTCCAAATACATCTGAAATTATAGGCAAACATGTATATATATATATATATATATATATATATATATATAGATAAAACACTAAAGGTGGGCATTGGTCGGAGACCATCCTATGGGGCATTTGATTGATCTAACCCGCATCTTACGAATTAACCATTTTCTAACCTTTAACCGCCCACATATCAACTCGTACCTGATGTGATTGGATACCTGTTAGAAGAGAGTCGGATTTGTAGGTATGTGCCCCGCCATTCTCATTACTTAATTTTTTTGAAATAATGTATACTAATTTATTTTTATATTTTGCATATTCAACATAGATTTTATCCAGAAAAAAGGTCTAATGCTAAGAAACAAACATACAAAGAGAGTAAAAGAAAAAGAAAGTGGAGAGGGCTGGGCTGGGTAGTAAGTAGGGAGGGATTGTAAATAGGTGGGCTTGAATATAATCCCTCCTATTTACAAAAAAAAAAAAAAAAATACAAGAAAAAGAAAAAAAGAACCCAAAACTAATGAATTTGTTATAAGCATTGCCCTTTTTCATATATATTCTACATCAATTAATTTTTTTTTTAAAAATATAAGATCATAATTTTTACAAATGAATCGCATAAACAAATTATAGATATCATATTTGGGATACAATTTGCTCAATAGAATTACTTAGTTAGCTCTAAAACTAATATTTTGTATATCGATATAATAATTTAAAATTTAAAAAATATATGCATGGCGAGTTGGATACTCATAGGTCTTTAATCCTCTGACCCTAACCCGCCCCGCATATAAAGAGTACTCGATCCTCTTTTAACTCGATCAAACAATGTAGATCGGGTATCCTATTTTTTGGAATGGATTGAATCGAATTTGATGGGATTTCAAATCAGCAGGTGTTTTTGTCTACCCCTATTATGTATAGTAAAATCTCTATAAATTAATAATCTTTAGATCATACAAATTCTATTAATTTAAAGAGGCATTAACTAATCGATAAATTAATAATTTATTAATTTATCGAGTGTACTTACAAATTAAAGAAACACTCATTTAATCAGCTAAATTTTTATTTTATTTTATAAAAAGATGAATTATTCTATTAATAAAAAGAGGCTAAAAATTTAAGGAATTTAAAGTAGTCATTCTTCATAATTTCTTATTGCAATATGAGAAATCAAATCTAGCACTTTCAGATGCAATAAGAAAAATTGGGGATAAGATTCAAGCAGATTTAAATTTTAAGAAAAACAAACAATAATAGACTCATATTTTAGGATAATATGATATATAATTTTAGTGAATTATTAATTTATGATATGAATAGGACCAACGAGTTATGTAAAGTTTTTTAAAAAATTATTATCTCATTATTTTATCAAAATTATTAATTTAGGTTATTTGCCCACGTCAAAATTGGAAAAAAATTATTATTTAATAGAGGTTATAAATTTATCAAGTACTAATTTATAGAGATTTTACTGTATATATATATGTGTGTGTGTACATACATGCATACATACACATATATATATGCGCGCGCACACACACACAGAGATATATAGTATCTTTCCCCCCAAAAAAGCATTTTTTAATCGACCCACAAAGAAAATATTTTGTTGCTAATGAAAAAATATTGAGGGGTTTTTCGAAATAGAGCCTAGATATTTCATTTTTTCTTTTCTATTTAGTCCAACCAAACCAATCATAAATTATTCAAACTAATATTAATCCCCAAAATGGATCAAATTGCATTTCACACTCCAAAATTTTGGTTGATTCAATGAATCTTTCTTGGGTGAAATGGAGAATATCTCAATCAACGGAGAAATGGGGAAATCCCATAGGACCTAATGACGGGATTTTAGTATACGTACAAGTTAAAAAACCGAATTACACCCGTTCACTGCAAGTATACAGGTCAACTAGTAGTTTAGGGTATATATCGGGTCAATCCCACAAGGAAGAGTAAACAATTACCGATATTACTAAAGGTTCTCTATTATTTAGACTATCAATGAATTATAACAAATTAAACCTACTGAATTTATACAAAATAACAAATGAAAGCTCCTTATGTTATGGTATCCCTAACTACTCATGTAAGTGCTATATTTGGATAATTGAGTACTACATCTAGGCTAGTTATGGTGTAATTTTCTTATGCATTTGAATCCTACTTTCGTAGTGAATCAATTATACTCATAACTAATCCATACCTATTCTCATGGTTATGAAATTAGTTACAAGTTCATTTCTTCAATGAAATTACATGAAAAGAATCACTAAAAACCACATAGGTGCACCTCTACTTTCTTGAGTGTATTCCCTATGTTTAGCACTTCTTGAACCAGTGTTAAATCTCAATTTTTATTGCAGAAGCAACACCTTAGATAATCACAATTAATGGTACCAGATTAATCATGATTTAAAGAGCCAAAGTGCTAAATAACTTGCTCAAAACATAGCAATCAAATAGCCAAATAATAAACACTAACAATCATAGGAAGTTCAACCAAACCCAAGGCATAAACTTTAGAAACACATAATAAACATAAAATCCAGAACTTGCATATTAACCATACTTAAGAATCTGATACAAAAGATAAAGAGTTGGAGAAGAGATAACCCTTGTCACATGAGTTTCACTCCTCCTTCTTCATCTCCATCTTCATCCTAATCTAGCCAAGATACAAGAATGGATGAACTATGCTACTCTACACTAAGCTAACCTACTACTCAGAAGATGAAAGAGCTACATTTTTGCACTCTCCAAGTTCTCCCGTATGTCTCTCTATTCTCCCTTCAATCTTGCAAGTTTTGACTATATAAAGATGAAAGAAGTCAAGAAAATGAGACCTACACCACCCTTTTACAGCTGCAAAGTAGTTCTCACATGTCTGGCATTGCATGTGAGTTGTTGGAGGTGAAAATAAGTTTTTCATGTAAAGAGCAGCCTTCTCTGACCACAATCCGGCCAGAAATCCGGCCGGATTGCTACAGTGACATTTTAGTGCACTTTTGTTCAATTTCCAGCTCTGATCCGATTTTGCGTCAACTTCAACTGAACTTTTCTTGATGATAAAAGCTGATTTAGCTCTTGACCAAAACATAAAACTTGTAGCCCTTTGCGTTAGATTTTCAATGCATCAAGAATCACCTCATTTGGATCTGTGTAGGCTGAGAAATAACCGAAATGCCCTTGCCTGCTCATTGCCCTGTTTCAGCTTCGACCAATAGAAATTAGCTACTGTAATTCGGCTTTTTGACCTGGACCACCTTCGAACTGGATTTTGATGTTTTCACCAAAGTTGTAGATCTATCTCTTATCTTCAAATTGGTTCAAAAATCATCTTAATCCGATCATTGTATCTCAAGTTATAGCCGAAATACGAAAATGTGTCAAAACTGTCAAAATACACAAAATACAAGTAAAAAGTGATAAAAACCTCATTTAATCACTTAAAAGCATATTTCACTAATTATAGCCAAAATGATTCATTTTCTTCCAAAAATATAGCCAAAGTGACTAAAAATAATATAAAATGTCATACAATTATTACGTAAATTAGTCACTTATCACCTAATATGTCTGACAAGTCACACTATACGTCAATCCAAGATGCATCTTGCTCTCTAGGACTCTGGAAAGGCACTTTGGAACCCCAATAGACACTAAATGAAAGAAAAAAGAACAAAAAACACTATATTTCACTTTGATGTGGGGATTTGAATTGTGTCCTTTCACCGATTCCACCTAAATTGCATTAATTGATCCTAAAGATTTCATTTCAATTGAAATTTGGTTATTCACCATATACGAGAATCCCGGCTAAGCATCCATGGCTGAGTGGTTAAAGCACCCAACTCATAACTGGCAAATTCATAGGTTCAATTCCTACTGGATGCACGCCAAGAGGACATAGGTCTATTGGAATTAGTTCTGTATCACTGGAATGTCATCATTCATACATAATGAATTGGTATATTCTTCTTCTTTTTTTATCAAATTATCTTTTTTTATTGATCAAAAAGGAAAACCATAAATTCATACAAATCTCCTACGAAAATTAGGGCAACCCAATCGATCCAAGAAAATCTCCCCACGGACAACGGTCGGCAAGTCATCTTTGCGGTTAAAAATTCTGTCATGCCCCGCATCTGCCCCCCAGTTGGCTAAGAAGTCCGCGGATTTGTTCGCTTCTCTGTAACAGTGAGTAATCTCCCGAAAATGCTGCTGATAGCTTAGCAACTCATCCACCTCCCGCTGCAGCCTCCACGGACTACCTGTCGCCCCTGCGTAATTCTCACCAAGTTGAGCGAGCCAGTCTCAATCTGCAACCCCTGCAAGCCCCGAGCAACACATAACCTGACTCCAAAAAGCATGGCTTTAAGTTCCGCATGTAAACTC